ATTAAGTGTTCAAGAATAGAAGCAGTTCAAGTCTGAGAGTATACATACAATATCCATATGTATATAATTTTAATGCTATAGCCTTTGTGTATATATTTAAAGATGTGCATCTTTAAGCATGACAGTTGAAATTAAATGGTAACACTTTAAAATAAGAGTCTATTTGTAGCATTAAGATTAATGAAAGCTGTGCAAGTATTGTTCCTTGTTAGAGTGTGTTAATTTCAACATTTACTATTACTATTATTATTATTATTACTACTACTACTAGTAGTATGGTTCAGTACTGATTTTGTTAATAAAGCACTATTTTAGTTTTTGTTCAGTATCAATTTTAAAACAATCGGTTAATTAATCGGTATCGGCCAGTGTGGTCCAATTTAGCTATCGGTATCGGCAAAATCCACTATCAGTCGACCTCTAGTAGAGGCATAAATGGCCATTTACTATTACTATTATTATTATTATTACTACTACTACTAGTAGTATGGTTCAGTACTGATTTTGTTAATAAAGCACTATTTTAGTTTTTGTTCAGTATCAATTTTAAAACAATCGGTTAATTAATCGGTATCGGCCAGTGTGGTCCAATTTAGCTATCGGTATCGGCAAAATCCACTATCAGTCGACCTCTAGTAGAGGCATAAATGGCAAGGGAAGTCTCATCTCAGAGGGACCACCTAATGGACATTACATACAAAAATGACTGAAAAAACAGCAATCTGATTGGCTGGCTGCTACATACTCAGGGCTCAGGGTGCACGGGAGTCTTTTTTACAAGTCCCCAGGCTGCTACAATTAGCACCTCAGAGGAATTACTAGTGACATGATGTGCCAAAGTTTGTGAGGTTTGTGGTACGAAATCTGCAAAAGATACTGATGAATGGGACAACATAAAAACAAAGCATGTGGTTTAATATTTAAATCACATGCATCAGATGCTCGAGATGAAGTAAACATGATATCATTTTGCACACCTGAGTTTCAATTAGATGCTGGCCAGTCATTCGATGATTTCTTTAGCTTTTCAGTTTTGTCTCGACTTGCATGTCTGCATCTCACAGGTTACGCAATTTCCTGACAAAACAAAAGATTTGACAAATCTATCTTACATTTGACAAATTTAAACATCTGGTAGTAAAAACAAACCCACAATTCAGCAACAAAATGAGTAAAAACCTGCTGAAAACAGCACATCCTTCATGGTTTTCCTGTCACGTTAACTTTTCATTGTCAGCAAACTGCTCTGGTCATGATAAACAGGGAAGTCAGTTTAAGCAAACGCAGGCGAGTGTCAAAACATTGGGAAATGAAGAAGAGCTATTGCATAAATGCGCACTGGCATGCATAATGCAAGATAGCAGCGGCAAAACGTGATTACATCAAAATACAGATGCCTCTCAATTGCACAGACAGAGGCGACAACATCCAAATCCACAGATAATGGAAGAATATTACTGTATTTCTCAGTGGCTATTAAAAACCACAAACAAATCCAGAGAGTTCACTCTCACAGTTGACGGTCCAATGCCACAGTCATGGTTCGCAGTTCTCCGTAACCAGATTTCACAGCAGCCTGGTACTTGGATAGACTTGCCTTTGGCACAACAGTGTAAAGTTCTACACTGGGAATGTTTAAGTAACATCTCCACAGCCACAAACTGATAAACCACTAACACTGGGAACGTGGCTTAAAATACACCTGAATTGAGAAATATAATTTATTGCTTCCAGAACCAGAGATTATGGAATACGCATGAATTCATTTGGGTTTCGCTACTTGAGAAAGGCTAAAAACAGATCCACGCTCAATGTAGTAACAACAAACAACGGCTCAATGCAACTGTTTTGGCACAAACACTTTATAAACTTTCAATAGACTTTACAGCGCAGTGAATCGTGACCCAGCTGTAATCAAAACAATGCCGTTGCAAGCCTCGCGAACACACCATCTGGGTGAACTTATGAGAGTTACTAACTTCTGCAAGTAGTTACGCTTCCCAAGTTGTTTCCTGAGGGCTCAGTTTTCAATTGAGTGGAACATGAGATCTAAATTAAACAAAGCACTGGTGTAACGCCTCAAAATTAGCCTTATCATTAGTTTAAAAGACAACTGATACACACTGAATTCATTCCCAGGATACTTTGGAAAAATAATATGCACTAGTGACTGAAGTATCAGTTGATATTTAGTGATTCTAAAGCTAATAATTGTGGTTACTTGGTCAATGAACAGAGCATTAGTTGAAATAAAATAAAACATTAAAAATAGGGATGCACCGAAATGAAAATTCTTGGCAGAAGCCGAAACTGAACAAAATTTAAGACTGGGCCGAAGGCCGAATACGGATTTTCGAGACATGGGTTTCATGTTTTTTGCCAATTTTTTTTTTCACCATTGCATAAATGAAAAAGTCAAAATGTGCTTTTTACTGTATTGTCTTGCTTTTCAAAGAAAAAAAATCAACAATTGAAAAAAATTTAATACTGAACATTTGAAACATTCTAGCAGACACTATACCAACAACGCACAATTTAACTTAAAATTAATAAGTTAGTAAAATAAAAATTTTTGGCCATCAGACCCTCTTCTTGAATCAGGCATGTATTTCTTTTTTTTTTTTTTTACTGTCAATTAAAAGCAGCCTTGCTGAGAAGAGACTTCTTTTAAAACATTAGAAAATATAAAAAATCCTAATTTGAACACTATGTGTGAATGTGATAAGAAATGTATTAAAACAGAGCTGTTGTAATGATTATCATCATTATTATTGTCTTACTATTTATTTTATTTTACAGAACAACAGTAAAATTACAATACTAACATTTATGAATGTTGATAAGAGTTCTTGCTTTTTCTCAACTTTTATTTTGGCGGAAACGCGCAGGAAGACCTTAATGCTTATTTTGGTTGACAACAGATTTATAAATGAGTCTCATTTATAGAGTCTCACACGTATCGCATTGACACATGCCTTGTAAAAATTCATAAAAATGTGACTACTGATGACTGTATTAGCGCAGATTTTCCTTGCGCTTTGGACTTTGAACCCTGGTTAACAAGCAGATCGTGCAGCGCTGTCAGAATACATGCAATGCGCGTGTGTATTAGAAAACATAACGTTCTGCAGTTTATTTACTAATTGTTTAAGGTAGGGATGCTCCGATCTGCCTTTTTCGCCTCCGATACCGATTCCGATACCTAGGGTTCGGTATTGGCCGATACCAGTGAAGTTTTTTTTCCCCCATTTAAATAAATGTAGAATTTATATATCTCTGTGTGTGGAACTGATATTCATCTACTAGATACAGACTACTTCATTATAAAGAAAAATAAAATAAACAATAAATATGAAAAAATATAAGCCTATGTATAATCTATGAAAAAAAAAAATCATAAACTAAGTTAGTGGATAATTCGGCAGCAAAAGTTATTCTAGAAAAATCAGTGCACAATAATTTTAGAAATCCAAACATTTAGTGAAAAAACTATATTTTGTGGGGAACAAATAAAAGTGTTGCACTAAATATGGTAAAATGTTACACATTGCTATTTGTATTATTATAAAATCCATTCATTAAAAACATTCATATATATGTTTAAGCATATACTATGAAATTAAAATACATTTCTTTTGAATATATAGCATATTTTTTAATAAGGCAACAACATATGATAGATACGATAGGACAAAACAAATACAGTGCAGCACAAACTGTTTTTATACAGTCTATGAGCACGAAGCGCTTACAATGTCCGCGTCCGGTGTGCAGAATGATGCGCTTGAAGCAACACGGCGTCAGGCTGACTCATTCAGCACACCGGATGCGCACATTGTAAGCGCTTCGTGCTCATAGACTGTATAAAAACAGTTTGTGCTGCACTGTATTTGTTTTGTCCTATCGTATCTATCATATGTTGTTGCCTTATTAAAAAATTTTTTTTTTTTTTTACTGTACAATTAAAAGCAGCCTTGCTGAGAAGAGACTTCTTTTAAAACATTAGAAAATATAAAAAATCCTAATTTGAACACTATGTGTGAATGTGATAAGAAATGTATTAAAACAGAGCTGTTGTAATGATTATCATCATTATTATTGTCTTACTATTTATTTTATTTTACAGAACAACAGTAAAATTACAATACTAACATTTATGAATGTTGATAAGAGTTCTTGCTTTTTCTCAACTTTTATTTTGGCGGAAACGCGCAGGAAGACCTTAATGCTTATTTTGGTTGACAACAGATTTATAAATGAGTCTCATTTATAGAGTCTCACACGTATCGCATTGACACATGCCTTGTAAAAATTCATAAAAATGTGACTACTGATGACTGTATTAGCGCAGATTTTCAAAAAAAAAAAGTGTTTACGAACGGTTCTGATGTTGTGCAAGAGAGAAACGACAGGTGAAACTCAAACTAAGCTTATTTAATTATCACTTCAAGACTAAACAGCCCTGGGACAGCTGTTCAAAGGTGTTTTTCCCTGCTCACCGGTCAGCAGGGGTTTCGCAGACTCAGGTTACGGACACACAAAAGCTCCGTCTGAGTTCTCACACTCTTTCTGTTTAACTTGGAGCGGACAATCACGTCTTTGTAATATGACAGCAGCGAACAAACCCAACAAAGCAAGCCCTGACCAGAGGAACGCTGTCATTCATACCTTGAGTCACACCAAAACAAACAATCGCAATGAAATATCGAACCGGCTCACGACAACGTGAATACAGTAACACATATCCTGGGAAATACAGTACTGTATTGCCCCTCATCAAGTGTTGGGTCACGCTACCCAAGGCGGACCGATTCGCAAAATAGCCATGTCAGATTTGTAATATCGTGGTCTACGTGAGAACAACGGCCTTAAAAATATTTTTCAGCTGATTAGCGTCACCAGCCGGGCAGACAATTATGAAAGCGCAATGCACGACTTTTGAAAATAACCTTAACCCCATAGGAAAATAATAGGAGCCTGCGTCATTTTTTTTTTCTCCCAGGAGGGCAAAATAAACTAGCTTACAGTTGATCTGCATTGGAATGCAAGCAGGAATAAAGCTTATTTTATTATATCATTGCTAGTTTTTTTATTTAAGTCTAGAGTTTGTAAAACCAATCGGCCGGAGGTAAATCAGATGAAAGCTGTCTTATAAAAAAAAATCATAGATTTAATAAATAATTGCATCTTTTGCTAATAATGTCAACCCGTTTAAACAAAAAAAATGAATTGCATACATAAGCAGCTCAAAATTTACAAATGGCATTCTATCTTCACTGTATTACTAAAGGATGCTGAAACATTAGTCGGCCCAGATAGAGAAAGAACTACAAAGATAAGTCTTTCTTCGCTGTAATCTGCACCGATTTGCTGGCCTCTGGCATTATGCTTTAATCACACTACAAAAACAAAGGCAAAGTTGCCAATTTAAAGCTTGCAAGCACTGGTTGCACCAAGTCAGTGCTTTGTTCCTCTAAGAAATCTGACTCCTTGATGGCTTTACAACACTGATCTGACCTAAATCCAGCTGACCTCTGGAAACAAGCACACACCAACCACAACAGCTTAAAGATTCGAGGTTTATAAACAAATGATTGTGCCATTCGTCTGAAAACAAATTGACAAAAAAAAAATTGAGACAAAGTTAGGTGCTATTTCTAAATTGATATGAATTTCCCCAGTCATTTTTGTGATAATTTAACTCGCCACAGGAAAAAAAGTATACCTAAAATTTCCAGTATGAAATTTCCTTCAATATAGTTTATAATTAATAATGTCATTTTTATAATTTGTTTTCATGTTTTAGATATATATAAAATAGCTAGATAGATAAGATCCACCTCTTGTCTGTGCGTGTTCAACGTTTGCGAAACGAACAATATAATGGTGTTAATTGGAAGACTCATTTTAAAAAAGAAAGCAAACAACTCACACACTTAGATATGTGATCGCATAAAATTAAAATGGCTTGAAAACATGATCTGTGGGAGTTTTATTGAGTAATCACCTCGGTGAGTGAATTTTAAAGTAAATCTGTGTCTGTGATATTTACCGAGCTTTGATGACTGATGATCTGAAAACAGTTCAAATTTAACTATTAAAAAGAATAGAACATAAGTTCCCAAATAAAATATATAGTTTCAATTATTACTGCCTTGAGTTATTATTTTGGAATAAATGTAAAATGTTTAAAAACACTAACTTGATGAGATTCATACTTGGCTTTAATAAACAGAATATTGATTACATTGTTAATGTAAATATAAAAATACAAAATAGAACTGAATTGTTTTTTTTCCTCTCTCTCTCTCTCTCTGATAGTGCAAGTAATGTTTATTTAAACAAGAAAATGTGACTGGGAAATGAATTTACATTTGTTAAAAAAAATTTTTTTTTTTATTTAGATTTTTTTGCACCCTCAGATTCCAGATTTTCAAATAGTTGTATCTCAAATATTGTCCTATCCTAACAAACCATACATCAATGGAAAGCTTATTTATTCAGCTTCCAGATGATGTATAAATCTCAGTTTTGAAAAAATTACCATTATGACTGGTTTTGTGCTCCATGGTCACAAACTAATGCATGCTCTTATTGTTCAAGGGATAGCAGCTTTTCTAACCTAAATCCTGATCAAATGGAAATACTGCTTTTATACAAATATTGCACTTGTATCAAATATGGCACTATTGCTATCCCACAAGAGTTCATAAACAGAAAAACAAACCAAACTGTATCAAGGTAAAGTCCACTGTGATATCATGTGAAATCTGTGGTGACAGCATTAGTACAGTGTGCATGCTATGATGATGTGAAGTGTTGATGTTTGTTCTGAGGATGTGTTGTCACCTTTACATGTTAAAAGGACTTTATTTTTCAGCCTTTTATTTGCGCTGATTCCATGTGCATATTTTACTTAGATGAATAAAATACACACATTTATTTAATGCATTTTAAGTTTCTCTGGATAAAGGCATCAGCCAAATGCCTAAATGTAAATGACTACATTAAAGCAGACTGCTGGGTTTGAAACATTCTACCCTTATGAAGAAGTACTGTAGTGATGCCATGATACTGTATGCAATACCATGGTACTTTGATATGTACATAGATACAGTACATACATACTTTAAGTGTGTACATTTGGATTGTACATAACACATACAGTACTATGCATATTCAGTACACCTACTCTTTATTATTACTGTTTTTTTATGTTTTGTAATGATAGTAAAGTCATTAAAACATTGAAATAACACAAATGGAAGTACAATCTTATGAAAAGTAATTTTTATATTAAATATTAAGTAATATATATATATGTATATATATAGTATCTCACAGAAGTGAGTACAGCCCTCACATTTTTGTAAATATTTTATTTTTATTTCAGGGTTAGTTCCATTTAGTTTTTATTTTTATTTATTTATTTGTATTTATTAATTTCTGATTAGTGTAAGTTTATCTAATATTTATATTTTATTCTCAGCTTTACCTGAATTAACAAAAATGATTTCGATAGTTTTATTTGTATAATGATAAATGTAAATAATGATATTACTTATTGTTGCTTAATATTTTTTTATTTATTTTGTTATTTATTTTTTTATCAGATTTAGTTCCATTTTAGTTTTTATTTATTTTTGTTTATTTAGAGTTTATATTTTTTAGTATTTTTTTATTTTAGTGTTTCTTATACATTTGTCATCTTCATATATATATATATATATATATATATATATATAATTGACAAATATCTTATATTCTGTAATACAGTTAATATAATTAATATTTGTATAATAACATATATTTTAAATAGCTAAAAAAGAAAAAAATACATATTATTTATACATTTTAATATTATAAATATAATTATAATAAATGTACATTTATTATATTATGCCGTAAAGAAGTCACTATGTGAATACAACCTAAAAATAAAAATAAAATTAAAAAAATTCCATCGTCTTTTTAGTGCAATCTGTGTTTTTGCAACATCAGCTGTCAGTTTCATAGTCTTCAAGATCATTTTTGGTTTTCAGTGCATTAACGGTTTGTCCTTTGATCAGGAGCGTGAGTTGGTATTGAAGAGGATAGCAGAGGACCGGCGCAGTCAGCAGGAGAAGGCCCAAACCGAAGCCACGGCCGAGACCTCTCCATCCAGTGGACAGGACCAGAGACTGGGCGGACGTGTGGAGACCAGTGTGGACAACCACACATGCATCCTCATGGTGCGAGATCACATCTGTTTCTTCTCTGCTTTCTAACAGCCACTGTTGGCATTATTTCACATGAAGTCAAACCTGTTTGTTTTGTTTGTGTCACAGATTCGTCTTCCCTCTGGGGAATCAATGCGCGAGCGTTTTCCTGCAGACACTCCCTTAAGTCACGTCGTCCAATACATTGCCGGCCGCCACCCTTCGCTACCTGCTTTCTCCCTCCTGCAAGGGTTTCCTCGAAAGCGCTTTGGAGAAGCTGAGCTAACCTGCTCCCTCCGGTCTCTAGGACTGACTCCCAGTGCTGCACTTTGCATACAGACCACGCCCCCCGAGACGCCTCAGGACCCGCCCAGTCCAGCATCCCAATTAACCGTTGTAGTGCAGACGGAGGCAGAGCCACGGGAAGAGCCAGTGGCGTCACCAAATGAGCAACCCCAGGTGGAGACCAGGGCTTTAGAGGAACTGGAGCTGCCTCCACCTCTGCCCCATCAGCTGTGGGAGGAAGCAGTGGGGTATGCTGGGATTCCTGGGGTCGGACCTCCGCTGTCAGGACCCTCTCATTACTGGGGTAAGATTTGCTTTGACTAATTTGTGAGTGCACCACACAGTTATTTTAGTATTATTTCTATACTCATTTTCTAGTTATTAATATTTTGAATATAATATTTTGAGTGCTGCAGTCGTGACTGCAAAAATTCCAAGTATTGTCAATTTATGTTTACCATGCCCATAAAATTAAAAATCCCATTATTAAAAACCCATAGGAAAATCTTGAGGAAATCCAGGGCAAATTAGTCTTCCGGGGTTTGATGTCAAGATTGCAGCACTCTATTGACTTTTATTTTTATATTTTCAGTTTTAGTTTTAATGTTTTAAACATTAGTTTTTCATTTTAATGTTTAGTGATTTTGTTATTATTAGTTAATTTGTTTATTTTTTTAAATTTCGATTATTTTTAAAATAGTTTTTAAGATAAGTTAAGTTAAAATTGTGATATATTACTTATTGCTTACTATTTAAGTTTATTTATGTTATAATTAATTTTTATTTTAGGTTTAGTTATTTCATTTTTATGTTTTATTTATTTTTGTATTTATTGATTTCAGATTAGTTAAATTTTTTCATCTGATATTTAGATTAGGTTTTTAGCTCTTTGATTTAACAAAAATGTTTTCAGTAGTTTTAGTTTTAGATAATGATAATAAAGAATGATATATTACTTATTGTTGCTTAGTATTTAAGTTTGTTTATTTAGTTTAGTTATAATTTATTTTTATATCAGATTTATTTCCATTATTACATTATTTCATCTAATATTTATTTTATTTTATTTTATTTTATTTTCAGCTGTACCTGAATTAACAATAATGTTTTCAATAGTTTTAGTTCACAATACTAATGCTCTACACAAACGTCACTTCAATGTACAGTAAGTGATATTGTGTAATTATTAATTAGGTCGAGGCCATAAACTGGTGCAAGGCGATGCAGAAAATGAAGAACATTTGGAAAATGAGGAGCAACCAGAAGAAGAATTTGTACCTCCATTTCATCTCTGTGGTTTGAAACATTTTACTTTCACGCTACATTTTGACAAGGTGTTGTTATGTGGTTGCTAGGGTGCTCTAGGTGGTTGCTAGGCTGTTCTGGATGCTTTCTAGATGATTGCCCAGGTAAAAAGAGTCCAAAGTCTCTATGGTATTCTGGACTCTAGTTATGGAGCAGGTACCTCCTCCTTTCTCTATAAATCTGTGAGATTTTTCCAAACTTTTTTTATTGTTTGCCAGGCAAAACTACGACTGATTGCTTAGAAAAATTACATGTTTTTGAGGTACTATTCGTGTTTTTAGCACAAACATTGTGAGATGAATTGAGTGCTTAAGCTTAGTATGAGCAATAATAATAGTGATGCTTGCGTTAGTCAGCACCATTCATAATGAATAAAATATGTGTGAAAAGTAATTTCTCATTTCTCAGTAATTAAACCATCACAAGTAGCATAATAATTAGAATTGGCTTGATTACGATCAACTCTGATCTGGATGAAACTCCAAAAACCGCCAAAGATAAAAACAAGCACTTCTCGCCACGATCAGAGGGTAATTCCTGATGAGACTGTAAACAAAAGATGTTGATATCTGCAAGTCTGGAACGGACTAAAAAGCCATGTACGCTGCTTTTGGACTCCACTGAATCAGAAAAAGCCATAATCTCATTAAAGAGGCCCGGAATGGTAATGAATAGACAGTGTGCCAACATTTCTTCAAGGGCTCTAATCACAGCGAATCCTTTAAAACATTCAAGAACTGGAGCTGTATTGCTTCTCGCCGAAGGTCACTGTTCATGATTCTGCAAAAGCTTTGTTTATGAAATAAATGGAATTTCATACTTGACTAAAGAAAAATGGATTAGTTGTTGTTTTAATCATATAGACACAGTCTCATCCCAGCTTTGGTTCCCAGAATGTTCTGTAAATGATAGTTTTTTTGGTTGTTTCGAAATAAAACGTTCCCGGAACTTTCAAGCTAAAATTAGGGAAATGTTTTGTGTTCTCTGAGATGTAACCGATCTTATAATGTAGATTATTGATCTTAAACAATCACGGAATTGCTGCCTTTGGACTGCGTCAGTAACCCTGCGTTGGGGCTTTAGCGAGCGACCAAAGTATGAGAAACTCCGGGAAGTCCATATTGGGTAAGAGGTTAATGCCCTTGTTTGTTTAGATTTAGTTTAGTTTAGATCCGGTTATAAGTAAAAGCCCATTCACCTCTTTCAAATGATAACGCTCGCAACTAGCAAGCAAGTCGTGCGCTTGAACTGCATATGCTCTACATATAGGCTCTTTTCACTGGAAGTTTAATGCAGGGGACAGCTTTGGACAACATTTTAAGATGCTGTGAAGATGATCATATGTTAATTTGCACACGAGAGACACGCAGGAATTAACTGCAGCTGGATTGGTTGAGCAGGCAAGGCCTGTGAACATGCTAATATATGGTAATTAGCCTAATATGCAGTTAGTTCCAGTGCAACTGTTTTGATATTGAGGCTGTGTAATTGAATGCTTCGTTAATTTGGTAGTAGCAAGGTGCAATTTAAGTTTAATTTGTTTGCTTGATGTGCTTCTGGGTCGTACAAGTAAATCGTTGTAAATTGCTCTTTAAAATGTCTTATTTTTTTAAGATACATACCTTCAGTCATGGAAAAACCTGGAAATATCAGGGATATAAATATCTTTATATATAAAAATATCTTTTATATGTCTTAAAAAGTGATATACACATAATACATCTTTAAAATATTTAAAAATGTAATTTATTGACGTGATGCAAAGCTCAATTTTACTCCAGTCTTCAGTGTCAGTCCTTCAGAAATCAATCTTATATGCTGATTTGGTGTGCAAGAAATATTGCGTATTATTATCACTGATGAACATTGCTTAGTAATTTTGTGGATACATTTTTTCAGGATTCTTTGATGAATAAAATGTTAAAAAGAACGGCATTTATTTAATATATACAGTATATATATATATATATATATATATATATATATATATATATATATATATATATATATATATATA